ATATCTTTCCTTTTTCTCCTTTGCTTTTTGCTTCTCTTCTTTTCCCAGCTATTTGTAAGGCCTCCTCAGACAACCATTTTGCCTTTTTGCATTTCTTTTTCTTGGGGATGGTCTTGATTCCTGTCTCCTATACAATGTCATGAACCTCTGTCCATAGTTCATCAGGCACTCTGTCTATCAGATCTAATCCCTTGAATCTATTTCTCACTTCCGCTGTATAATCGTAAGGGATTTGATTTAGGTCATACCTAAATGATCTAGTGGTTTTCCCTGCTTTCTTCAAGTCTGAATTTGGCAATAAGGAGTTCATGATCTGAGCCATAGTCAGCTCCCAGTCTTGTTTCTGCTGACTGTATAGAGCTTCTCCATCTTTGGCTGCAAAGAATAAAAGCAATCTGATTTCGGTGTTGACCATTTGGTGATGTCCATGTGTAGAGTCTTCTCTTGTGTTGTTGGAAGAGGGTGTTTGCTATGACCAGTGCGTTCTCTTGGTAAAAAAAAAAAGCAGGCCTTTGCCCTGCTTCATTCTGTACTCCAAGGCTAAATTTGCCTGTTACTTCAAGTGTTTCTTGACTTCTTACTTTTGCATTCCAGTCCCCTATCATGAAAAGACATCTTTTTGGGGGTGTTGGTTCTACTTTTGTGTTATGCTACAAAAATAACCAGCAAAACCCCAGTAGTTTAAAACAGTCAAGGCTTTTTCCTCTCCCATGCTACCAGCCCTTCATGGTTGGTGAGGGCTTCTGCCTATGCCATGCTCACTCCAGCCCACCAGCTATTAAAGCAGCCAACATCTGAAATGGTGGTGACTGCTATGACAGAGAGAAAGCAAGCACTAGATGGTTTTGTGCCAATAATTAAATGCTCAACCTTGGAAGTGACACATCACTTTAGCTTGTGACTCATTGGCCCCATGTAAGGGACCGGTGAACTGTAGTCCTACCACGTACGAAAGCACTGGGAATACACAGTCAACAGCACTTTTGACTGTGCTGTTACGACCACGGCACATACATTTTAAAGTTTTAATTTTTCCTCTAAATACTGCTTTAACTGCTCCTAACAACAATTTGTACCTCACACTTCCATGATCTTTCTTAAATAAATGTTTAATTTTAGAATAGTTTTAGATTTACAAAAAAATTGTGAAGATGGTACCCAGAGTGTTCTCCTATACCCCCCACTCAAATATCTCTATGTTAATATCTTCCATTTAGTGTGGTTCACTTGTCACAATTAGTGGATCACTATTGCTACATTATTATAAACTAAACTCCATACTTCATTCAGATTTCCTTAGTTTTTATCTAATGTCCTTTTTCTGTTCCAGAATCCCCTTCAGGATACCACATTACATTAATCATCATATACCCTTAGCTTCCATTTGGCTGTGACAGTTTCTCAGACTTTTCTTGTTTTTTAATGACCGTGACAGTTTTAAGAGTATTGGTCAGGTGTTTTGTAGAATATTCCTCAACTGGGATTCATCTGACACTTTTTCTCATGATTAGACTGGGATTATAGGTTTTTGAGAGGGAGACCATAGAGGTAAAGTGCTATTCTCATCACGTTACGCCAAGGGTACATACTATCTGCATGACATATCAGTGTTGATATTGACCCTTATCACCTTGGTTGAGGTGGTGCTTGTCAGATTCCTTCCGTGTAAAGAAGTTTCTCTTTCCTCTCCCTTTCTATACTGGACTCTTTGGAAGGAAGTCACTACACATATCCTGCACTTAAGGAGAGAGGAGTTATGCTCCATCTTCTTGAGGACAGAGTCTCAACGAAAATATTTAGAATTTTTCTGCACAATTTGCCTATTCTCCCTATTTATTTACTCAGCCATTTATTTATTTCAGTACAGACTCGTGGATATTTATTCACTTTAGATTATAAATGAATGGGGCTTCCCTGATGGTTCAGATGGTAAAGAATCCGCCTGCAATGTGGGAGACCTGGGTTTGATTCCTGGGTTGAGAAGATCCCCTGGAGGAGGGCATGGCAAACCTCTCCAGTATTCTTGCCTGAAGAATCCCCATGGACAGAGGAGGCTGGCAAGCCACAGTTCATAGGGTCACAGAGTCTGACAGGACTGATCAGCTAGGCACATAAATGAATGCCATGGATTTTTTGTTTGTTTTGCTTTATTTTTAATTGGAGGATAATTATTTTACAATATTGTGATGGTTTCTTGTTTTGTTTTGTTTTTTCCCTCAAATTGTTCCAGCTTTGGCCACTGGGAACTCTCAATTGACTCCTATGTCTCCTGAACAAACATCCATCAATGTGAGTTGTTTTGTATTTTGAGAGTGTTCTTCTTTCTGACAAAACAAATGCTCTAGGATCATCTGGTATATTTCCTGCCCCAGTTTTAGAACCAGCCACGTCTCTAAGGAACCCTGGCTCACTTCATTGAAGAATGGAATTAGAAACCAAGATCTGAGAACTAGATGTGATCATTATTACCAGGGTCACTGTTCCTAGGCCCTCTCAGCCAGCATAGCAAGGAAATATTCTGTGTATACTAACTCGGGCATGCATACATATCTATATAAGATTCTATATGTAACCATCTGTATCTATCTTAAACTAAACATAAATCCATTCTGATGTCTCCAGCTCTAATCCATCAGCGCATGGATCATTTTAGCCTCAGTCTCTTTTTCATCTGTAATTTCCCACTTCAACAGTGAGAAGCCCATCCATTAACTTAAATGTTTGAGTCCAGTATACACATATAGTGGTTCAGAATTGTTCAGAATTAACTTTTTCATTACAATTTAATTATATTATAAATATGTAATTAATGTTCATTGATTTATTCTTTAACCATGAATTATTTAGAAGTTTGGTTTTCGGGACTTCCCTGGTGGTACAGTGAATAAGGATCTGCCTGCCAATGCAAATGACACAGGTTTGATGCCTGGTTTGGGAAGATTTCAGATGCCTGGAGCAGCTAAGCTCGTGCACAACTACTGAGCCCATCCTCTAAGAGCCTCTGAACTGCAATTACTGAAGCCTGCAGCCTAGAGTCTGTGCTCCTCAGAACAGAAACCACGGCAAGAAGCCCGTGCACCGCAGCTCGAGAGCAGCCCCTGCTCGCCTCAACTAAAGAAAGGCCTCGCACGGCAGCAAAGACCCAGTGCAGCCGAATAAATAAATAAAATTACGTATAAAAAATAAGTTTGGTTTTCAGTTTCAAACATAGAAGATCTTGATCTTGATAGATCTCTTTTTATGATTGATTTCTACTTATCTCACATGTGGTCTGAAAACAGGTTCTATGTAACGTTGATTCTCTGGAATGTTTTGAGACTTCCTCTAGGATCTAATATATGTTCAATTTCAGTAACACTTCCATGTGTGATTGGAAAAAAAAAAAACGTATAAATTTGGGTACCTCTACTCTAGGCTATTAAACACATCATTATGAAAATGTAGAAAGTATACAAATGTTGGAGATCATGTGAAATGAATTAAAAAAAGAACACTAAACACAGGCTATATGTGCAGCAGTGTAAACTATTTCAGGCATAAAAACAAAGTCAGGAGAAGAATAAGCAAAAGTGAAAACAAAATTGAAAAATAGTGGCGGGGGAGATTCTACATTTTACTCTTTCAAAATAGTATTTAATGTTGTTTTTTATAATTTATAAAACTGTAAAAAAAATCACCCCAGGAGAAACTGGTTCAATAAATTAACAGAGGATCACTTCATTGTACAGACATTTTTTGAGCTTCTTCTAGGTGTTGGGCATCATGCTGGATCCCAGGGGTCCAGGGATCCACGAATGAGAAGTTAAGGTCACATAAGACTCTTTAGACCAAGAGAGGCAGACCAAACACAAGGAATTCCTACACGAAGCAGACAGTGAAGGGTGCCAGAGCGGTACAGACACAGAATGGCTGGGAGACAGAAGTGAGAGAAATTCATGTAGGTTCCGCAGGGAGGACAAGGTATGCAGTGTTCTTGGGGGACCAGTGAGGACCATAGAGGAGCTGAAGGATCTGTGTGTGAACACTGGAAGGGGCCACAGGCAAAGGGGAGACCTGGAATAATAATAAAATGTGATGTCTGCATAGACTGAAATTTACAGAATCTTCTAGCACCCACACACGCACACACAAAATCTCATTGCTATTAACTTATCTTTATGATCACTACCCTGTGAGGCAGATATCACTATTTTTATGTCCAATTTTTACAAAGTTGGAAACTGAGGTTCAGAGAGTGGAAGCAGCTTGTCCGAGATTCCACAACTAGTAAGTGACAGAGCCAGGGCTGAGACTCTAGTTTTTTAGTTCCAGGTAAAGATTCCTTCATGGAAACCCCTTCTTAGAAAAGAACTCCTTTGCAGTGAGTGCACTTAGAGCCACAGAGGACTTCCTGGTGGTCCAGTGGCTAAGACTTCATGTTCCCAACGCAGAGGGGCCCGGGTTTGATCCCTGGTCAAGGAACTAGATCCCACATGCCGCAATTAAGACCCAGCATAGCCCAATAAATAACTTTTCTTTTTTTTTTAAAGAAAGAGTCATAAAAATGGCTCAGCAAAGCTGTCGCCCTCAGGGAGAAAGGATGCTATCAAAACGTCTTCTCAAGGAAGCACAAATGTGAAAATAGACATTGAGAGTCAGGCAAGGCCGCCAGCTGGGCAGACACAAGACTGAGTTGGATATTTTGTGGGATTAGACTCTTGTTCTTTGTTGGCCACAGAAGGGACTCATCTAACCCCCAACCCCAACCCCTGATGCCCCGCTCCCAAAGCACCAAACCACAGTGCTCAGAGCTCAGAGCCACAAGCTGCCATGGGCCCAGGCTAGGGGTTCAAGTTGGGTTACTGTTCCATATTCAGTTGAAAAAAATATGGTGTATACACTTTGGCATATCAGTGTATATCAATATCATTAAAAGGATCATTGAGAACATTTTAAGACGTGAAAGATGAAAACGTAGCCCAGGAGACGAGCATTCCAAGCCAAGGGAGGAGAGACTATGAAGACCTTGGGCAAGAAAGGGGTTGGGGACTTTGGAGGACTGGAAGCCTAAAGTTGTCAGTGGGGCCAGAGAGAGGTGGCTGTGATGGCGGGAGGAAGGCATGGGCCAGTTGGTAAATAAAATAGAAACCCATTTAACTGAATATGTGGGGAATCTAAAAAATAATACAAATGCATCTATATAACAAAACAGAAGCTGACTCACAGAAAACAAACCTATGGTTACCGAAGGGGAAAGGTTGGAGGGGGTGGATAATAAATTAGGAGTATGGGATTAACAAACTACTATACATAAAATAGATAAGCAAGAAGGGTTTACTATACAGTACAGGGGACTATAGTCAATGCCTTGTAATAACCTATAATGGAAAAAAATCTGAAAAAAATATATATATATCAGAAACAGAATCACTTTGCTATACACCTGAAACTAACGCAATTTTTTTAAAGAAAGGAAATGCATATAAGTGAATAATAACTGAAATGCATCACAAGAGCCAGTTGTCACCTCCAAGCTCCTACCTGCTTTCCCAGAAAAGTTCTGCGCAGCCTATAGACTTCATCCTGAAACCACTCGGAATCAAGACAACTCAGGGCCGCAGTACCCTACATTTCCTGGGTCCCAGCTGCTACCCTGGATTCCTGGAGCCTTCCCGCCACCCCAGGATCCTCATCGGGGGATGATATCAAGGTCAGAGTTCAGGGGAGATGAGGGCTGGAAGGCCTGCCTTAGAACAGGTGCACCCAAAGGCCAGTGCCCTGCTTCCATCGGGCATTGCGATGCTCGTTCGGCGGACCTGAGGGCCCTCCGTGGAGGGCCCGTTTCATGGAGAAGGGCCAGTTGCAGGGCGCGGATGCCTGGGTCGGAATCCCCCCACTCGGTCAGCCGTCCTTGGGCTGTAACTCTGAATGCCTCCATGTCGGCACCCGTGAAAGCGAGGCCATCTGCTCCATCCACAAGTTGAGGGGGAGAGGAGGCGGTAAATAAGCTCATAAAGTACTTGATACACCTGGCGTTAAGTTGAGCCCGGCACATAATAAGCACTCAATAAACGACCCCCATTCTCGTGGCTGGGAAAACGATAACCAGGGCGCAGAGGGGCAGGAGGGCCACTGGGCTTCGGCGGGAGCATCCCCGCCGCCGCCGCCCCGCCGCCCCGTCCCTCCCGCCCGGCCAAGGGCAGCGCCAAGGGCGGACACAGAGGCAGCTTCGGCCCCGGGCGGCGCGCCCCCCACCCCCGTCGTCGCGCGGATCCTCCCGAGCATCCGACTTCATTTCCACTTCAATTTTATCAGCGGCCGGGGAGCCGGGCTGGAGATAGGAGGCCGGCCCTGACACGAATTAGCCCGGAGATTGCCCGATACGCTGGCCCGGGCTCGGCGCGCGCTCGCCGCCCTCCTCGCGTCTCCTTTGTGTCTTCCTGGCGGCTCCCGCCCGCCGCCCTCACTCCCGCCGCGCCCGCCCCGGGGCCAGCGAGCTTGTTTGCTTTTGGCCACGTTTACCAGACCGAGGCGGGCGGCGGCGCGGGGCTCCTACCCCCGCAGGGCCGTCGGGGCGCGCGGGGGGCCTCGCTGGTCCTCCACAAGCCCCTCAGCTTCCCACGGCCGGGGTCCGGGGGCGGGATGCGCCTGGGAGCCCGGGGCAGCCCCGCCGGAGAGGGGCGCCCTACTGGGGGCCCTGTCTCAATGTGGTTCAGTCGCTCAGTCGTGTCCGGCTCTTTGCGACCCCCCACGGGCTGCGGCACGCCAGGCTTCCCTGACCTTCACCATCTCCCCTAGTTTGCTCAAACTTACGTCCATAGACGTAAGGGTTTCCCTGGTGGCTCAAATGGTAAAGAATCTGCCTGCAATGCCGGAGACCCGTGTTCCATCCCTCGATGGGGAAGATCCCCTGGAGAAGGAAATGACAACCCACTTCAGTATTCTTGCCTGGTGAATTCTGGAGAAGCTTGGCAGGCTACACTCTACGGGGTCCCAAAGAGTCTGACACGACTGAGCGACTAACACTATGTCCATAGAATTGGTGATGCCATCCCACCATCCCCTCTGTCACCCCCTTCTCCTGCCCTCAATCTTTCCCAGCAGCAGGCTCTTTTCCAATGAGTCAGGGCCTTGTAAAGGCCATCCTATTGAATCTTCCCAAGAACCCCGAGAAATGATGAGAGAAAGGGAAACTGAGGCCCAGAGAGGCAACGCTTCTCGCTCAAGGTCATGTGCACCTAAGCTAGTAGGCCAAGATTTGGGACTGAAATTTGTTCCTTCCAAAAACCTTGGTGAAGAGTGGGTCTGGCATATTTACAGATTGGTGGTCCCTCTTTCCACACTACAACAGTCACGGTACTTAATTGTTCTCCAAATTTATTGCAAGAGAGGAAGCCCTATAAGATAGGAACAAAGGAGGCGCTGGGGTTTCCAAATGGGGAGGGGAAGGCCTTCCTCCCACTTCTGCCCCCAAGTGCCCTGGACTGACACACCCCTCCCTGGACCCCTCCCTGGATCCCTCCCTACTTTCCCCTACAGTCCCCACCCTCACTCCCAGCTCCACCCAGAGAAACCCCTTTGCTCTGTACCAGCTAGAAGCCGGCTCTGAGACCCAAGGGGTCTTTCCCCGACCTTCCCCCAGGCCTGGAGAGGGGAGGTGAGCCCTACCATGCTCCCCACCTCTGTTTCCGGGGTGCTTCTGGGGAAAATTTATGTCCCTCTCAGGTTTGGGAACCGATCCCACACTAAAAAGAAAGAAGAAAGAGAGAAAGAAATGATTTTAATTTTTTTTAGGCCCAGAAATGAAGCAGAAGTGAGTAAATTTTAATGAAACGGTGCAAAAATGACATCATTTACTCAGAAATCATTAATTTGTCAGCATTAATATTTCAGCTACAACATTGCCTGTCATTTTGTGCCTGCAATGACTGATAAATCTATAAAAGCGTGCTGCTAATTTACTGAATATTTATGTGCAGTGTCATTTGCAGAGTAAGAATGGAATTTATTTCGTGCCGAGTTCTGCGGGAGAACATTCCCCACAAACCTTCATCCTGGTGGGTGGGGGAGGGCAAGGGGAGATTCCAAACTTCCTGGAAAACTGATGACAAGGTGGGGACAAAGGGGACCCCTGGGGCTTATTCCCCCCCCACCCCCCCAGCTCTGGGCGGGAGGGACCTTCTAGCTTTTGCTCTGATGGTTTCAAGGCACTTTGGGAACTCCCTTCCCTCCCCTACCCTGGAGAATCCAAATTTTACCTTCAAATGTTTCTGCTCCCAGGAAGGCATCCTGGGTTCTGCTGCCCCTGCACGGTGGTTGTGGGGCTACTGCTCACTGGAGGTAGGGCCAGCCTTTAGTAGAGTGGATGGATGTGGGCAGCCTGAATTCCTACTCCAGCTCTGTGAATGGCCTCAGAAATCTGGGCCTCAGTGTTCTCATCTGGAACATGGGACACTAGCAGTATCTGTTCCTGGAGACTCTGGGGTTGACTGACCTAGTGCGTGGAAAGTTCCTCAGCAGAGGACTCGGGAAGCATCAGCTGCCACCTTTGTTAAAGGAATCTGCACTGTAATCTCTGCTCTGAAATGTCCCCTTCCCGGATTTGATTTCTCCAGATGAGAAGTGGGGGCCCTGAGATCCCATTCCCACGCCCCGAGAGGTTCACGACCTTTCTTCTGGTTCCCCCATGTGGGTGGGACCTCAAAGGAGAGCCCAACCCCCTCCCCACTCCCTCCATATCTCCACATGCTTGGGTGATCAGAATTCTGAGGATCTATCCATATACAACTTCCTGAAGCACCAGCTGTTTCCCCCACCCTCCACCCCACCCTGCCCCACCCCGCCCCGCCCTGGGAGCTGTTTGGGGAAAGGATGTTTGACCTTTGAAATGCCTCCATTTTACAGAGAGCAAAATCAAGGCCCTGAGAGGGGCACCCGAGTCTGACGGCCCTTCACCCCCACTTCCCATCCCCCATCCCGACCGGAACACAAATCACAAGGCTTCAAGGTTTGCACAATTTTGCTCAATTTCCTGCCTGAATGGCACAGGGCCTGACCCTCTGCAGGTGCTCAGGAAATGTTCGTGGAATCAATAAAGAACAGCTAAATCTCCCATCTTCTGAGAGCTTTGTCTCCCCCTCCCTCCTGCTCCCCACACTCCGTCGGGGGTGGACTCTGGTGGTGGTAGGAGCAGTCGAACCCTCCTCGGAAATGCGTTCCTTTTTCTTCTTTGCTGAGGCCACCCCTCTTCATGAAGGCTTCCCTGGACCACTGCATTAGTCTGCTCACAGATCTGCCTGCCTCCACTTCCCTACTCTGATGCAGTCAGCACAGGGCTTTGTGAAGAACAGCCCTGAGCCGTGCACGCTCATTCAGTCATGTTCAACTCTCTGCAACCCCATGGACTGTAGTGCGCCAGGTTCCTCCATCCGTGGGATTCTCCAGGCCAAGAATACTGGAGTGGGTTGCCATTTTCTCCTCCAGGGGGTCTTCCTGACCTGGGGATCGAACCCACGTCTCTGCATTGCAGGTGGATTCTTCACCGCTGAGCCACCAGGAAAGCCCCCATCCGTCACTCAAAGGGCTGCGTTGGCCCCCACAGCCTGTACATGGCACCCCGCATGCCCTCCCAGGTCCTTCACACTTGGCTCCTCCTCACCCTCTCACAGACTCATCCACTTCTTAATATACGCATCCCATGTTTTCTGGTCTCTAAGCCTTTGTTGACCCTTCTGCCGAATGTCACCCTGTTCCTCACGGCAAAATTCCATCTATCCTACAAGGCCCACTGCAGCCAGGAAAGGTCTAGAAAGCTTGCGATCCCTTCTGAATTCTTCCTTATTCCAAGAAGGGCTGAGGCCCGGGGAGCCACGGGTCCTCCCCTGAGGGCCCTGGTGTGGAAGAACCTCTCAGCGAGAGGAGAGGGGTGCTCATTGTCTGAATCCAGGGGAGAACACCAGATTGGTGGTGGCTGGGGGAGTGGACGTGGGCTCTCGTACTTACAGATTACCACTGTGGCCTTGGCCTTGCCATCCTCTGTCTATGAAATGGGCTGGTCCAGCTGGCTCTCGTCCATGTGAATCTGTCACGTCCACAGCTGCATCCTGGCACAAGCTTCGTGCCGGGCAGACAGCATCCTGTTCATACGAGATGCTGGCTGAATGCCCTCCATGCCAAGGTCTGGAGGTCCTGTGACTCTGTGTGGTCCAAGCATCACTGGGTGAACCCCAGGAGAGGCAGAGGGGGATGCTGTGATACCATCATTGAAAAGCAACACATTGTCCCACAAACGATGCAGTTGCCCTGTGAGCTGATTTTTCCTGTGCCCATTTCACAGAGGAGGAAGGTGAGGTTAGAAGGTAAAGTGACTGGCTGAAGTCTCAAAACCAGGCTCCTGGGTCCAAATCCAGTGCCCTTCTAGCTGCTGAGTCCAAATGCTCTTAGAGTAAACCCCAGTCTCTTGTGCCCTGCATGCTGGAGCCCCTGAGACCCTCTCCAAGACACTCTCCTCCTGCGTCAGAATCACAGTGCCCTTCTGGTCGCTCCTTCGACACTCAGCTCATTCTCTCCCCTGGGCCTTTAGAGTTGCTGTTCTCTCTGCCTGGAAAAAGCTCATCCTCCCCTTTTAGCGCTCAGCTCTGATGCTGCCGTCTCAACAGGCCTTCCGTGCCCACCCAAACTGAAATAGATGTTCACTTCCTTTCCCTTCCCTCTGCCACCTGAAATGGCCTTCTACACCTGTGTCCTCCGTGCGGGCGGGGACTTGGCTGCCTTGCACACCCCTGGAGGCCCAGCACCCAGTGGCCGAGGGTGGCTGTTGGTTAGACGGATGTATGCTTGGGATGTGTAACACAGCAGAACTGGGAGCTCCCGTCTCCCAGGAGATAAGTTGGGGGCTCTGGGGCGGTGGGGAGGCAAGGGGGTCAGGGGCCAGGGATATAGTAGGTTGGGGACACCGGAAGGTGCAACCTGCTCCCAGAAGCTGGACCTGAGGGGAGAGGGTGAAGCTGGGAGGCACCTCCCCACCTCATCCTCACCATCGCCCACCGCCAGCCCGCCCCCCCCATGCCTCACACTCATTTCCTTCCCGGAGCCAGTCTCATTTGCTTTCCCTAAAAGCTGCTGGAGGAGCCAATATGTACGTGATGAATATTTCATCTCCTGAACGTGGGTTTGCGGGAGAGCTGCGATCACCCGGGGAGGGAGTGCTGCCCAGCCGTGCCTGCGAAGGAGGGGGCCTGAGAGGGGTGCTGGCAGAAGAAGCATCTCAAAGATGCAGGTTCCAGGGCCCACCCACCTGCTCCCGCAGACACCCTTGGCCTGGGGAGGCTCAGAGCGTCTGGGGCAGCTATGAACCTGGGGCACGGATACTTCCTACCCCCTGGGGCTCCCAATCCTTCCTTGGGATTCGCCTCTGGCTAGGTGCAGAACTGACCATAAGCTCAGGGGCTCACGTTGCCCAAGCTAAAGTTTCAACTGAGACTGCTACGGCCTAAGGTGTGGCCTGGACTGGTCATCGTGTAGAGGAGTGTCTCAGCTGGGATCCTGAGCATCCTCTCATCCCATGGACCGAGGCTGAGAAACTGCAGGCTGAGAAAGGAAGGAGGGACAGATAAAGCACTGTGTGTTGAGTGGGGCAGGGCAGGAACCGTGAGCAGCCAGACAGTCCTGGGCCATCCTCAACCCCTCCATCATGCTCCCCAGCACCCATGACCTCGGCATCCCCGGGGGATGGTCCAACTGAGCCTCTCCAGCTCGGGAGTCGGGTGGTCCTGGCTGTCCACCATCTGCTCTTGCACGCCCGAGTGACCTGTGAACTTCTCTGAGCCTCAGTCTCCTCGTGTGAAGAGTGGCATCGGTCATGACACCAGGCAGGTTGATTCTGTGGGGCCAGCAGAATGCCTGGCACATAGTAAGTATTCCAGGCATTCAAGGGCTGCACACCACACACACACACACACACACACACAGTACCACCATTCCAGCTCCTGGAGCATCCACTTCTGGCTAGAAAACAAAGGACCATCCGTCCACTCCTCCTTCACCCAGGTTCTCTGTCCCCTCCCTTGCTGCCCGCCCCACTTCGCGGCCTTGAGCTTCTGCTCCCTAATCAACTGAGGGGGAGAAGGAAGGCACCTTGGGTCTTGGGTGTCAGCCAGCCCTGGATCTACATGACCATTTCCTGGGGTCCCCTCACCCCCAGCCCCGACTATCTGCAGCCAGCTTCTGTCCCCCACAACCCCACCCTGGCCAGGAGCAATCCCAGCGTTCTCATCCCCACCCACCACATTACCCTCTGAATACTCTCATTATACCATTACTAATTAGGGCTGCCCAGCAAATTGGCGGCTGCATTAGAGGGAGACAGTGCGCGGGAGCATATGGCATAATATCGTATTAATGAACACTCTAAATTCAAACCCGGGTCAGCTGCTCGCTTCTTGCCAGTGTCACCCACGCTAAAGGGAGGGAGAGGAGAAAAAAAGCAGTCAACCTTTCCCTCGCTTTCCTCGCCTCTCTCCAAACACACAAACCCCAGCGTGGGCTACTGGAGGTTTTTTTTTTTTAAATCATATCTAAAAAATGAGGAGAGAAGGAAAAGAGTCCAAGACTTCGACGGGGGGGTGGGGCAGGGGTTGCAGAGAGGCCTCCCTCTCCCAGTTATGTACCAGTGTACACTGAGCAAGATCAGGGAAAAATAATAATTAATAATAATAAACCAGGCTTGTGAGCCACACTATCTCTGGCTCCCAATAATCCTCGCAGGGGGTTTTAGCACCGAGGGCAAACCCAGGGCCACAGTGGTGGTGCAGCTTTCTTAAGATCACGTGGCCGCTAAGTTGGAAAGTCCAGGGGAGAGGGACAAGCCTGAGGAGGTGGAAGAAGACCCCTGCCACCCTCTCTCCCAGTCCAGGAGCGCCAGAGATCCCCAGACCCTCAAGGTCAACCAGTGAATTCAGGGAGAGAACTCAGACCCAGATTCCAGTCTTCGAGTCGCTGGGTGATGCTGGGGGTCGGTTCCCCTTCCCTCTCCCAGCAGGTGGAGAATTCGGTTCGTGGTGCTCAGATCAGCAGCCCAGGGCTGGATGGGGACCTTCTTCTCTTCTCTTCCTCACCTCTTTCCCGTGTTTCTCAGAGGAGTGCAGAAGTCACTGGCTGGTTTTGGAGGCACCCTCCCGCCTCCCTGTCTCTTGGGAGGAGGAGGTCAACGGGGAGACATTGGTGAGTGGAGGCCACATTGGGGATGGTCTGAGGAGCCTCAGAGAAGATGTGAGCTCTGATCAAGGCTCCTGAGTGGAGCAGGGGGACCTGCACTAGAGCTGACTCTCCCCCTCCCCCAGCCAAGGGGGCAGCGCCCAGTGATGCCCATCCATGGCTGTCCAAGGCACCCTGACTCCCACTGCTGAGTGGAAAGGGCCTCCCCATGCCATCCATCTTGCTGTTCTGGAGGCGTGATGTCCTTAGTCCTCTAACAGAAACCTGTTTCCATGTCATCTCAAGATGAAGGGTGGTTCCGTTCCGGTCACCTGCTGGGCTCAGAGCCTGGAGCAGGTGGGGCAGGTACACTCAGGCATGGGTTTCCACGCCCTGCCCAGGCTCAGCCATGCCCTGCACACAGCATCCCTTGACTCCACCTCCTCCGGGAAGCCTTCCTTGGCTGACATCACAGAGCCACGGCATCTCAAAGTGTCTTAGACACTATTTTGTGTGAGATCCCCAGTTGAGGACCAAATCTGTCTCAGAGCCGGGCTAGACTCCACACCAAAGTACCCCTCCTCCGTCTGCCCATCCCACCCCAGTGCTGGGAGCCCAGTTCCCCAGGAGGAGGCATTTTTTGAGTGTCTCGGGTGTGTGTCTGGGCTAGGAGTCAGGATAGATTGCAATTCCAAATGAGTCACAGTGCAAACCTCTTCTAGCACCTTCTCTACCTGCATTCTTTGTGAATTCTCTTCCTCTCACGCCCTCCTTGTCTCTACCTACACATGGGGATGGGGGTAGGAGGAGCTGTGAAGATCAGCAGATGTTCTTGGTCCATGAGAGGGTTTATTAGGAACACTAAAAAGAGCACTGGAGGCCCCAGGAGAAGGCCTTCCTCTCCCAAGTTCCTGTCCTCCTCTGGGTTAATGGAGTGTGTTCGTGGAGGAGGAATTAGGGGTGGTAGGACGATGATCTCCTTCCAGGGCCCCAGAAGAAGTCCGAAGACATCCCCTGAACTTTAACCTGTAGTGTGGTTGCAGGACTCTGGGCAGTGAGTGCCTTCTCTGTTTCCTTTGTTGCTATTGTTTAATCAATCAGTTGTGCCTGACTCTTTGCAACCCTATGGACCGTAGTCTGCCAGGGTCCTCTGTCCATGGGATTCTCCAGGCAAGAATACTGGAGTGGGTTGCCATTCCCTTCTCCAAAGGATCTTCTGCTCCAGGGATCGAACCCGAGTCTCCTACGTCTCCTGCACTGGGAAGCAGATTCTTTACCACTGAGCCATTAGGGAAGCCCTTTGTAGTTTTTATTTATTTATTTGGCTTCTCTGAGTCTTAGTTTTGGTCTGTGGGATCTTTAGCTGAAGCATGTGAGATCTAGTTCCCTGACCAGGGACTGAATCCATCCCCCTGCACCAGGAGTGTGGAGTCTTAGCCACTAGACCACCAGGGGAGTCCCTCCTATTTACTTTTCCATCTGTGAAATGGGTGTCTTGACAGCTTGGTCAAGATAGAGGGATGCTTCTGTGCAAGACTCACCTGCGGAGGCAGGGGCCCTTGCCAATCTGAGTACCGCCAGGCGCCTTCCCAGTCAGCTCCATCAGAAAGAAAAAGCACCTGAACAAGCCCCCTGGGCTATCCGAGCAGAATGGAGGCTGGAGGTAACCGCGCAGCGCAGCCGCCTCAGGCCCACTAGCAGGCTGCAAGGCTTCAGGGGCGCCAACAGGGGGCGCGAGAGAGCGCCCCCTCCCCAACAGACCTGCAGCCCCCTGGGGACTCAACTTCAGACCGCACGACCCGGCGCTAGAGCCCTCCACGAGGTAGGGGAGGGGCGGGGGACCCAAGTTAGGGACAGGGCGCCCCCATCCTCTGGCTGCCCGGGCCACGGGGGCGCCCCCGGCCGCGGACTGCCTGCGCTGCACACCCGGCACCCCGATCCGCCGTCCCGGCCAGCCGGGCCCCGCGGCCGCGGCACCCTCTCTCGCAACCCCGACGCCCCGCCATTCACGCCCCGGTCATAGGATTCTTTTCCTTTGTCTGCAGAACCCGGAGATCCCTCTCCCTCCTCCCTGCGGCTCTCCCGGCAGGGGAGCCCGGGCGGAGTAAATAATTGTCGCCCCTCCCGTCCCCGACCAGCCAGGCAGAACGCGGGGGTGTCATCAAGCCCTGGATGCCAATTACTTTATCCGCCCCCACAAGCCGTGAGCGCCGCACACACACACCGCACCGCGCAGCTGGAGCCCCCAGCCCCTCGGAG